ACATTGTTACCCCAGCACTGGACAGTGGAACACCAGCCTGAGGTGTTCTATTGTCCAGAGCCCAAGGTCCTTGACTTATTGCTGTCCCATGCAGCTTCTCTCATAGCTTGGCCATTTATATTTTATTTGTTTTGAAGTGCTGGAGATTGAACTCATAGCCTTGTACATGCTAGGCAAAGCATTCAACTAATAAGATATCTCAGCCCTTTTATTATCTTTTTTCTGTTTGTCTGTGTTTGTGTCTATGTAAGTGTATGTGATGGATGTAGGTACCTGTGGAGGCCAGAAGAGGGCATCAGATCCCCTGAAGCTGGAGTTACAGGCAACATTATGAGCTACTTAGTGTGGGTTCTGGGATCTGAAGTCAGTTCCTTTTGAAGAGCAGCGAGCTCTTCCCTATCCCCTTAAGAAATTGTTTTCAATATTTATTTATTTACTGTGTGTGTGCACATGTGTACATGTGCACAAGTCTGTATCTGTGCATGCCATAGCTCACATGTGAAGGTCAGAGCACAACTTATTAGGAGTTGTCTCTCTCCTCCCACCAAATGGGTTCCTGGGATTGAACTCATGTCATCTGTTTGGCAGTGGGTGGTCTCACCCCCTGAACCATCTCACTGGCCCTGGGTTCTTAATTCAAAATCCAGCACAATGCAGTGGCACTGGCACACATATAATATTGTACAGCCATCAACACAGTCCTTTTCCAGAATCCCAGGCAGAGCTCCACACACACTGACTACTACTTCCCTTCCCCCATCCCCTCTCCTTTCTAGGTGACAACTATTCTGCTTTATGATCTGTTAACTCCAGATGACACATGCGGATGGGGTCCTACCCCTGTTCTTTCGGTCCTCTCAGTTCCTTGTTTTTACCAAGTGTTTCCAGACATCAGAGAAGCAGTCCACTGAGAACACGGGAGTTGTACTTTTACTAATGTCCAACCTGTTTCCTTTGTTACACTTCAAGAACTGGATCACATGACCCTGGCCTTGGGATGCAGGCATCCTTCCTTACCATCAACTCTCGAAGTAAGATGAGACAACTTCCTCTTCTTAACTCTTCTCTCCGGGAGAGGTTTCCAGAACCCCATCATACTTTTCTGACTTTTTGCTTGGCTTGTTCTTAATAAGCACTTTTGTCCTGTAGTCATGGGGAAGCATGGCTGGCAGATGTGAAGTGTAAATCTAATTAATCTTACCAATAAAAACTAGGAGTCAGATATCAGGGTAAAAACCTGAAAAATCAGAGAAGCAGGGGAGCAGACATAGTCACTTCTTATCTCTTCTGTTCCTCAGCCTGAAAGGGCCGAGAGCCTCTCTCTGACCTGCCTTATCACTTCTTGTTTTTCCTCTCTGTACAGACCTCCAGATCTCTGTGGTTAACTAGTGGCTAGCTCCACCTTCTGACTCCAAGCAAGCTTTATTTATCAGAACACAAAATATCTCACAATACTCCCCCCTTTTTGTCTAAATAAAAAGCAAAGGTTTTAGCTAACATGGTAAAATGATATACAATAAGTACAATAACTATATACAAATATATAAAGATAATAATTCCATGAACAATGTCTAGATCATCCTGTGTTGGTTTGTGCTGCAATTCCTTATGCACAGGGAAAGCCCAGCTGATACAGTGGTACCGGCTGCTGCTCCACAACATCTAAGGGCAAAGCAGCAGGTAGTTGTGTTTCCTGGATGCTGTTTTGTAAGCTACAAACACCGCCTTCCTTAACAACTGGATAAACAGTTTCAGGTAAAACTTTAGGGGCCAACTCTTTCCCAGATAAGAGATTGATATTCAAAAGAATTAAAGGTGACACCACGGTGATCTGAAGCTCTGTTCCTTTTCCAACAGCTATATATGAAGACTCATAAGTTGGTGTGAGAATGGACATGACTCTCTGTGATGAGCTGGTCATTTTCTGAGAATTTCTAACACCTGAACAAAAAGTCTTAACATGAACTTCATCCGTGGGATTTGAACTGCCAACTGCTGTTGTGCTGGTTCTTAATACAGGACACTGTTTTTCTTCTAAAGGTTTTGGAACATTTTCTTCTGTGATTTTTGGAGGTTGGTTTTTCCAAAGAGAAAGACATGTTGCTAGCAATTCCATGAAGCAGTGACTGTCACTTTTAGCAGACATTTATTTTGCTGAAAATTTGGAATGCTGAGTTGGTTCAGTATAAGAAATGTTGGCTGTTTTACTACAACCAGCACCATCAAAAGACCTTTATTGATTTTTCTTGCAAGTTCTGAAAACTTTGGTTTGTACTAGTGATTTAATATCCCTCACTGGCTTTTCTTTTGTGGCATTTTGTGTCTAGTACTTGGATTGCAGGAATACTTTTTTTCTCTTGATTATTTTGAACAAGAGTCTGTATACCATGCCCAAAAGAGCTCACAGAGTCATTGTAAGGTTGTTTTGTATTTATTTTCAACTCACAGGATTTTCCAATGGTGCCAACATTTTACTAGTGTTTTTCCACTGCTCTTGAAAGCCTTTGTAAGTATCTTTCTTTTTTTCAGATGAATGCATTTCTGAACTCTGAGGAACTTCAATAAGCATGTGTCTAGAAACAGGCTGAGAATTTTTATGAGTAGGCACTGTGAAGGCAAATTTTTATCCTTTTCTTATAAAGATGTAGTGAAGAAACAGTCTTTTAAGTCAATAACTATAATAGACCATCTTTAGGTAATAGAGAAGTCAGGGGAATTCCAGGCTGTAAAGAGTCCATTGACTAAATCACCTTATTAGCAGCTCTTGGATCTGTTACCACTCTCCACTTTCCAGATTCCTTTTTAATAACAAATACAGGAGAATTACAAGGACCAGTCGATTCTTGAATATATTGAGCATTTAGCTGCTCCTGTACTAGCTGTTCTTAGGCCTGTAATTTTTCTGATGTCAAAAGCCATTGTTCCACCCAGACAGGTTTGTCAGTCAACCATTTTAAAAGAACAGCTATTGGTACCTTTGAAAGAGCAGCAGCTGTTGTGCCCTGTTTTCATACAACCTAAATGGTCAGTGACTGTTCTTTATAATACTTTTAAATATTTTCCCAGAAACATACATTAGTTTATGGCTTGTTTCTTAGTTGGAGGAATGTTAATCTGGGTATTCCATTACTGTAACAAATCACATCCCCATAAATTCATTGCTATATTAGCCACATATGGCTTTAGTTTTCCTCTCTTTCCTTCTGGCCCTATACACTTGACCCCTCTTGTACTTTGTTTTACCTGAGATGAAGTTCCAATCCCTAAAAGCTGAACATTTACCTCCTGAAGAGACCAATTTGTATGCCAAGATTCTGATGCAATTATTGTTACATCTGCCCCTGTGTCTACAAAACCCTCAACTACAATGTCATTTATTCATATTTTTAATTTTGGTCTTTGGTCATTTATAGAAGTTTGCCAAAATATTTGCTTTATGGTTTCTCCTGAAATTTTTGTTTTATCTTCTAAAGCTGTTCTACCATCCAGATCAGTATGGTTTTTTACAATAGGCATTAGGTCCTTTAATTGCTCTGGGAAAGAGTTTCCCTCATGGTAACATGGAATGATTGAACCAAAATTGACATGAGGGCCTGCAAGAGACCCCCAAAGTGTTTCCTGATGACAAAGGGTTACCCGGTCTGTCCATTGTTGATCTGCATTCATTGGTCCAATGTCAGCCTTTGCCATACCTTCTGCATACTCCAGAAGGCAGAAGCCTTCTATTTAGATTATTCCTAGAAAAAAAAACATTGTTTCTAGGAACACCCTGCCTACAATCCTTTTTTTAGGTGACCTTGTTTACTATAATTAAAAATCCTGACATTTTTATTTTTCTTCAAGCCTCTAGAAATCACCTCTCCTATCCAAGCATCATCATGGTTATGAGATTCAACATTGACTGTATCCCTGATCCATTAGGATCTTGCCTTTAAAGGCCTAATTACCCTTTTGCATTGTGAATAGTATTTTCAAAAGCCAAAGATTCAATTATTATTTGTCTAGCTTCTGAATTTGATGTCATTCTATTTATAGCTGAAGTCAATCTTTATAAAAAAAAAATCAGTGAATCTTTTGGGCCCTGTATAACTTTAGTAAGAGACTCAGTTCTTCTTCTGACTTCTGCATTCAAAGCTGCTGAATGGGATAGAGCCAGGGTGTGGTCATTATGTCTTTGTACATCAGCATAATCACCCTCTCCAAGAAGTTGGTTTTGGGAAATTTCAATACCTCTAGCCCTACTTCGTTGTTCAATGGTCCTAGTCTCATCTTTCCACCAAGTCCTCCACTGTAAATGAGGACCAGGTTCTGATACTTCTGTAACCAAGTCTCTTCAGCATTGTGGGACAATTTTGTTACTAGTTGACTATGAATTTAACATCTGCTTCACAAAAAGTGAATGCATACCATATGAGACTATCACTTCCTTAAATCTCCTCAAATCTAACATTTCCACAGGAATCCAGTAAGCTCTTACACAGCCTTGGGGATGCCTGTCATTTGGCATTTGTTCCTGTAAGGTGACTGATAAATTAAGGTTGGCTGTTTGATAGCCTTGGGCTGTTCCTCTCTAATTTTATAATGTAATGGTGAGGTTGGTTCTCCTTTAAATTCCTCTGTCTGTGTCTGAATATCTCTATTATCTCTATTAATAAGTTTTTCTTATTAGTCTTATCAGTCAAAATTGAATTATTTTTCTTTAGTTGTAGGGCTTGCATATTATCAGTAATAACCCCTTCTAAGGTCTGTATCTTGGCAGTCATATCAATCAAGTTTTTCAGGGATAAAACAAGAATTATCAAACTGATAATGATTATAATTAACATTATGTAAATTACAGCTAAGTTAATTATCCCCTCATTTAATTGTTCTGTTTTTAAACCATCGATTTTGTAGTCATGCAGAGACCTAATAGACGCCTTCCACTGTAATAGTGTTTCCCATTTGTTAATGTGTGGAAACTCTCTCTCTCTCTCTCTCTCTCTCTCCCTCCCCCCCAGATTTTGTCTCACCAAATCTGCTGCTGCTGATGGTGAAGTGTGAGGTTGGCTGCTGTCATGTAGCATGTCTGAGCAGAGAACACAAGCAACGCACAGCCTGGCTGAGGACGGCTGCTGCTGATCATGTCAGCAGCCTGAGGAGGGGGTCCATGAAATTCCCACAACCCACTGGGAAAAGGAGCTGAAGAGCCAGCTGTTTGGAAGGCAGACATGGGGGAACCTGTGAAAGCAGCACTGTGACCAGCAGGAAGTGAGCACAGAGCTGCCTGAAGACGGAGCTGGCGAGTGGTGAGGGGCTAACACCTGTGGCATTCAGAACCTGGGCAACTGTGCAGTTTGGGGCTTGTGGTGATTGCTGTAGAAAGGCTGCACCAGGAAAATCCCAGACTTGCTCAGAGGGCTTGGGGAAGAAAGGGAAAGCCAGCTGGTGGTGCAGTGACTCCAACAGATGCAGTTCCTGAATGCAGCTCTGGTGGGTGCTGCTGTTTCATGAATTCTGCCCCCAAAGTTGGATGCCAGATGAAGTGTAAATCTAATTAATCTTATCAATAAAATCAAGGAGACAGATATCAGGGTAAAAGCCTGAAAAAAAATCAGAGAAGCGGATGAGTAGCCACAGTTGCTTCCTACCCTTTTTGTTTCTCAGTCTGAAAGGGCCAAGACCCTCTCTCTGCCCTACCTTATCACTTCCTGTTTCCTTTCTATTCAGATCTCCATATCTCTTTGGTTAACTAGTAGCTAGCTCTGCCCTCTGACTCCAAGTTTTATTTGTCAGAATACAATCAAAATATCATACAACATGGGTGGCTACCTCAAGTGTGTCTTAACAGCCCCAGGGGTCACTGATCATGTTCCTTGAGCAACCTTAAACAGTGTCCAACCCAGCCTGACTTCCAAAGCTTGTTATAAATTACTGTTTCAATAGGTGAGTCTTGAACAACTTGGAATTCAGTCAGTCCTTAGGGGCCAGAAAAACCCTGGAGGAGTCTGAGGGTCTGTAGGTAACCTGCCTGTATGAGTTCACGAGGTTAGTGAGAGGATGAGGTGCTTGTAGACATCGCCAAGTTTCCACATTCTGCTGCCCCTCTATACCCCATACACATGTGTGTGCATGCCACACTAAGGCAACAAATCCACAGAGTCTGCTTAAAGGACAAAGGGATTTATTAAGAAAGGAAAACTCACAAGATAGAAGAGAGTCATGGAAAAGGTGAGGCACAGTCTCATGTTCTTACAACTGTCCCAGTATACAAGGAGCAAAAGAGAAAGATGCATATGTGCATCTCAGGTCTTAAGGGTAGCCAAGAGGCCATGCCCCAGGGGCATGTACTTCAAGGTCATAGGCAGGTAAAGCATTTACCTGCTACATCTCTAGGGCTGTGCTTCAGGGTCATAGAATGGATATCCACTACATCTTCCCCTTTTGTCTAAATAAGAAAGTTCTAACCTATTATAAAACTATATACAGTATGAACGGTTATCAACTATTGTCCAGGAGAGGACAAAGGTAATAACCAAAACAAAAATACAACCAACAAGAACATCAAACATCAAACAAGAGACATATGTTAAATTGCAGAGATGTCCAGAAGATAGGTAAATGTCATGTTACAGAGATTACTCCAATAGCTGTCCTATTCTAAAAAATTGAACTTTAGTATCTGAAATGTTCTTAGCTAAGATATGAGAGGATTATAATTATAACTTGTTGTTAGAATCTTAGATGATCTTTTAATAAAAAACCCAGAGCCAGATATCAGGGTAAAAGCTGAAAGTACAGAGAAGCAGAAGAGCCAGTCACTAGTTCTTACCTCTATGAAACCCTCAGCCTAAAGAGAGTGAGTTCCTGTTTTGTCATGCATTATATACCTTCCTCTGCCCTGCCATATTACTTCCTGGGATTAAAGGCATGTGTGCTTCCCAAGCAAAGGCATGAGATCTCAAGTGCTGGAATTAAAGGTGTGTGCCACCACTGCCTGACCTCTGTGTCTAATCTAGTGGCTGGCTCTGTCCTCTGATCCTCAGGCAAGTTTATTAGGGTACATAATATATCACCACATTTCCTCTTTTTTGTTCAAAATAATAGAAGGTTATAACTAATATAAGAAAAACTATATACAATGAGTACAATAGTATATATAATATATACAGCCAAGAATTACATTAACAATGTCTAGTCCATTAACATTTGACAGATTTAGAGAAAATATTTCATTATTTATTCTATTTTGGTGAGTCTAAAATGTACCTAATTCACTTTCTATCCTAACTTGTATTACCAACATAAAACTATCTTTTGATGTCATTCAAACTTACATATTTTACACCTCTTTAGTGAGTTTCTTTTCTGAATTTGTTAACAAGGAAAACTATATAACTATCTAATCTTCAACTCCCTCAGAGACCTGGGAAGGAAATAATATTACCTAAGTAAGCAGGGAGTACAAACAAGCGACTTCTAAAAAAATGTGAGGAATCACAAAAACAGCTGGCTGCCTGGGCAGTCACCCGAGGTTCCTCTGCAAGGTTGGGGCATCCATCTTTGGCCTACAGGCCTAGAATGTCTGACAGACTCATCTGTGAAGCAAGATTTTCTAAAGAGCTTTCCTACCTTGTCTTGGCAAGTTTGGCAGTCCTTTCTTTTGTGTCCTTCTTGTCCATTTTGAACATCATACTGTCAGCAGTGAAGCAAGGGCACTTTCTTATCCAGTGGCCAACTGTACCCTCATAAACTTGCCTGAGGATCAGAGGACAGAGCCAGCCACTAGATTAGAAACAGAGCCAGGCAGTGGTGGCACACACCTTTAATCCCAGCACTTGAGATCTCATGCCTTTGCTTGGGAAGCACACATGCCTTTAATCCCAGGAAGTAATATGGCAGGGCAGAGAAAGGTACATAAGGCTTGAGGAAACAGGAACTCACTCTCTTTAGGCTGAGATTTTGGAGAGGTAAGAACTAGTGGCTGGCTGCTCTGATTCTCTGATCTTTCAGCTTTCACCCTGATATCTGGCTCTGGGTTTTCTATTAATAAGACATCTAAGATTCCAACAACTTCTGGTGCCCAAGGTGGGGCACGAATTCATGATAAAGCTGCTTGCCTGTGGCATTGCAGGCCCTGGCTCAGGCCCAAGCTGCATTCGGCCAGAGTCCCTAACCCCCTGGCTAAGTTTTTGTTGCAGTCTCTCTGCAGCAACTCCCCAGATGCAGACTCCAAACAAACCAGAATGAGCTGCTTTTGCACATTCCTGCATGCAGACTGCTGGCTCTTTGGCTTCTCCCTTCTTCCAGTGGGTCATGTCTTTCTCTGGACCCCCTGCTTGGGATGCTGCCACACTGTCATCTGAATCGTCACTGTCAGCAGACTTGGTGAGACAATTGGGATTTCTTAAAGGGAGGAATTAGTTAAAAGAAAGTTTTTCCCCCACATTAAAAAACGGGAAACTATAACATAAATTGCTAAACAGTCTTATTAATAAAAAGCCCAGAGCCAGATTTTAGGGTGAAAGCTGAAAGAATAGAGGGATAGAACAAGCCAGCCACAAGTTCTTACCACTAGGAAATCCTCAGCCCAAGAGAGAATGTGCCTGTTTCCTCATGTTTTATTTACCTTTCTGTGTCCCGCCATCTTCCTCTCTCCACCCAACTACATCACTTTCTCTTTCCTCCCAGATCTACCTCTTCCTGTCTGTCTGTACAGACCTCTAGACCTCTATGAATAACTAGTGCTGGGATTAAAGGTATATGCCACCATGCCTGGCTCTGTTCTCAGTGTGACCTTGAATTCACAGAGATCTGGATGAATCTCTGCCTCCTGAATGTTAGGATTAAAGGCGTGTGCTACCACTGCCTGACCTCTATGTTTAATGTACTGGTTGGCTTTGTCCTTTGATCCCCAGGCAAGCTTTATTTGTTAGAGCACAAATAAAATATCACCACATTTCCCCCCCTTTTTTGTCTAAAATAAAAAAGTTATTATTAATATAAGAATAACTATATACAATATATACAGGCAATAAATACATCAACAATGTCTAGTCCATTTGCATTTGACAGATTCAGAGAAAATATCCCATTATTTATCCAATTTTGGTGAGTCACTTTCTATCCTAACTTGTATTACAAACACAGAACTATCTTTTGATGTCTTTAAACTTATACACTTTACACCTCTTTAGTGAGTTTCTTCTCTGAATTTAACAAGGAAAACTATAACTATAGCTATCTAATCTTCAACTCCCTCAGAGGCCCGAGAAGGAAATCATATTACCTAGTTAAACAAGAAGTGCAAACAAGTGACTTCCAAAAAGTGTGAGGAAAGACAGAAGCACCTGTTTTAATAACAGATTTTTTCTTCTTTTTTTATGACAATGAGACATGTCTGCTCCTGGCAGCACCAATCTACTTTAGAGAAGATGATGGGCATTGAAGAAACTCCACATGGAGTTTACTTTCATTGTGGCAAGTTAGCCACTGGGCAGGAAAGTGCCCTTGCTTCTACTGCTGACTGTATGCTGTCCAAAATGGACAAGCAGGACACAAAAGAAAGGATTGCTGATCCTTGCCAAGACAAGGTAGGAAAACCCTTTAGAAATCCTGCTTCACAGATGAGTCTGTCAGATATGCTAAGCCTATAGGCAGAAGAGGATGCCCCAATATTGCAGAGAAGCCTCGGGTGACCGTCCAGACAGAAGCCAGGTGTCTGTCTTTCCTCACACTTTTTGGAAGTCACTTGTTTGCACTTCTTGTTAAATTCAGAGAAGAAACTCACTAAAGAGGTGTAAAGTGTATAAGTTTAAAAGACATCAAAAGATAGTTTTGTGTTTGTAATACAAGTTAGGATAGAAAGTGAATAAGGTACATTTTGGACTCACCAAAATTGGATAAATAATGGGATGTTTTCTCTGAATCTGTCAAATGTTAATGGACTGGACATTGTAAATGTAGTTCTTGGCTGTATATATTATATATACTTATTGTATATAGTTTTTCTTATGTTAGTTATAACCTTCTATTATTATTTTAAATAAAAAGGGGAAATATGGTGATATAGTGTGTACCCTAATAAACTTGCCTGAATATCAGAGGACAGAGTCAGCCACTAGATTAGACACAGAGGTCAGGCAGTGGTAGCACATACCTTTAATTCCAGCACTTGAGATCTCATGCCTTTGCTTGGGAAGCACACATGCCTTTAATCCCAGGAAGTAATATGGCAGGGCAGAGAAAGGTATTTAAAACATGAGGAAACAGGAACTCACTCTCTTTAGACTGAGGATTTCATAGAGGTAAGAATTAGTCGTTGGCTGTTCTGCTTCTCTGATCAGCTTTCACCCTGATATCTGGTTCTGGGTATTTATTAAAAGATCGTCTAAGATTTAAGCAACAGTAACTATTTTTCAACCCCATCAAAGACCTGAGAATGAACATAATAATACCTGAGAAAACAGGAAATACAAGCAAGCAATTTCCAAAAAATTATGAGAATAGACAGACTGCTGGCAGCCTTGACAGTCACCTAAAGATTCTCAGCCCTGCTGGGGCATCCATTTTGGCTACAGGCCTAGAATATCTGACAGACCATTTTCAGAAGCAGTAATTCTGAAAGACCATCTTACCCTGTCTTGGCAAGGTTCAGTAGTCATTTTTTTGTGTGTGTGTCCTACTTGTCTGGAAAGGACAGCATTCATACTGTCAGCAGTCAAGGCAAGGGCAGTTCTTTGCCCAGTAGGCCATTTTGTGCCAAGAAGAAGACAAACTTCCAAACAGAGTGTCTTAGAAGCCCAACATTCTCTCGGGAGTAGATAGGTGCTGCCAGGAGCAATCGTGTCTCATGTCAACAGAATTCTAAGTTATCAAAACATTGAAATGCCATAATCTATAGGTCCATGAAGTGTGTGAAGATGATCTGTCCATCTGACATATGTTTCTGTGTATCTGTAGAACCTAACTAATATAACTATAGAGATGACAATCATGGGTGACTATTAATCTGTAATTTTTATCTACCTAAATAACCTAAGGACTAAGGCTTCACATTTACAAGGTAAACAGTCTATAAACTGATGTACAGTATTAAGGACAATGACCTCAAAATTGTGACAATACACAAAATATCTTAAATGGAGCTGCAAATGTATAATGCAGTATGATAACAATATCCTTAATATGTATCAATATACAAAATATCCTAAACATGTAGAACATACATATAGTATTACAAATATAATTTTACATTTGTATCAATATACAAAATATTTCAAATAGGATTAGGAACATGTGTACAATATGATGATTATAGTTTTGAATTTGTATCAATATACAAATTATCTTAATAATATAAAAAAGTTTACATTTGTATCAATATACAAGAATCCGTATCAGTGCAAATTATCTAAGGCTGGTAGTTTGCTGAATTAGTTTACTAGTGGATACAATAATCTACCTTAATATATTATACCTATCCATTCCCCCTTTTTCTTTTCCAAAAAAGAATCCTGAGTCTAAATTCTATTGTTCCACCCATGACCCTATAACAACTTATCCATAACCTTGAGAAAATGAAAACTTTTGGGGGAGAGGGCATCGTTTTCTTAAAATTGCTTCCTACTGTTTAGGGGGTAACAATATCTCCGTGGGATCCTATAAGAAATGGTTAATGGTTAAGTCTCAATAGAACTAGCTATAATATTTGTAGGCAGCCTCATAGTAATGTGTAAGGTTATCTGAGGTTCTGGCTAGAAGTGTAGTATGATGGACCATCTCATCTTAGAACTGTCCTGCAGAGTTTTCAGTCCAAAGCTGATTGATCATTGAGTAATGTTCTTAGGTACAA